AGGAAGGAAGGAAGGAAGGAAGGAAGGAAGGAAGGAAGGAAGGAAGGAAGGAGGGAAGGAAACAAGCATTTATTAAGGGCCTACTACATGCCCGGCACCATGCTAAGTGCTTTCCAAATATCTTACTTAGTTGATCCTCACAACAACCCTGTGACATAGATACTGTTACTATCTCCATTTTTACAAATGAGGAAACCAAGGCATACAGATGTTCAGTGACTTGTCTAGGGTCACCTATAGTAAGCGTCTGAGACTGGATTTGAACTCAGTTCTTTCTGACTCCAGGCCCAGTGCTCTGTCCATTGTACCATCCGGTTATTTCTAGGTAGGTATCTATATAACCCCAAGATTACACCCTTTGCCTTCTTAGGTTAGAACTGGGAGAGACTGAGCCACTTAGAGAGATTAATCATTTCATTGAGGAAATAAAGCATCTACATGTATAAAAAGATACCTTGTGTGATCTGGGAGAAGGCATTTTCTTTCCTGGGTCCCCATTTCCCCATCTGCAGAACCGATCATTTCTTTCCCAGACCACTATAGGGAGCTCCCCATCCACAACTGTTGTGGAATTTATAGTCCTAGAGAGTTGGCCATGGCCCTGAGAGGTTGGGTAATCTGTCCAGGGTCACACAGTCTTTATATGTTGGAGGTGGGACTCAGAAGCCCAGGAATTCCTGACCCAGCCCTTCCCGCTATGCCAGGCTACCTTACCAACTGCAAAATAAAGGGGCTAAACCATTGATTCCTTAAGGCCCTTTCCAGTGCTGGATTCTATGATCCCATAAATTAGCAATACAGGATAGGGTACAGGGTACAGTAAAGGGTAAGGAGTGGGTGGATCTGGTTCCTTGGCAAATGCTGGTTATTGCTTGTTGTTGTTAATACTTAGTGAGAAGGGAATAACCGTTCATAGGAGGTCTTAGCTACAAGAATGGGTGCGTGACTCCCAGTGGCGCCGGCCATGTATAACCCCCCATTCCTGGGGCTCAGAGCGCTCAGTACCTGTCTCTCCATAGGATGCACAATTAAGTTCCTCATTGGCAAACAAACAACATGACTGGAACACCTAGAACCTCAAGATGGTTCTCCCTTCCACCAGCTTCGCTCCCTTCACAGGAATGCTGGGGGAGGCGAACATTCTCCCTTCTGAGATCTGGTCACTGCTGGCTGACAGATGGCATGCTGGTAGCAAGAGGGCTGACCACCTCCTGACCTTTGAAGAGGAACTCAGACTTCTCAGAACTTTCCTGGCCAGACAGCACTTGTGACATCACTGTGACCTTTCTCTCCCCAGCCCATCCCACAGGGAGCCACGTGCAGCCTGAGGGGCCCAAGGCCTCCACACCAGCTCCGTGGCACCTCTCAGCATTGCCAGAGCATTCACAAAAAGACCCTCTGCCTTCCACAAGGTAACTATTCCTGAAAAATTTAAACTTCCCCTGGGTCACATGTACTTCAAGAGTAACAACATGGTAAATAGAAAGAACCATGGACCTGGAGCCAGAAGACCTGGGTTTGAATCCTGACTCCCTGTGTATCCTTTGGCAATTCACTCATCCCTCTTTGGGCCTCAGTCTTCTCATCCATAAAAAGGGAGGCCTCTAAGCCTTCTAGTTCTAGACCCTATGAATGAAACGTGAAGTCCTAGGTCCAATGATTATTGTTATGATAAAGATAAGATCTAAGATGAAGGTTAACTCTAAGATATCGGCCACAGGTGTGTAACTAAACTGTGAGTAAGCTTGCCCAGTAAACTAGGTGGCCTGCACCGGGGAGGCATTGCCAGGTAGTGGGAGAGTTAGGAGGCCTGGGATTCATCCCACTTCTGCTACTAACCCACAGTGTGATCCTAGGAAAGTTATTTTCCTCCCCTTAGTGCACACAAATTCTTTCCTGTTGGGTTTCCCAGTAAAATTAGGGTCTGCGGAGCTGGGTGGGATGGGGAGAGGAGGTGGAGGCAGAGGGAGTGATTCTGTGAATAAACTGTATTCATATCCCCCCAAAAGTGAGCCAGGCCCCCCTCATGCCCCGGCATCACAGGTGAGGCTGACTCCAATCTTCATTCTTCAGCTCTTCACCCCCTCGGGTAACAAAAAGAGATCCAAAAGGGCTAGAGGAGAATAAGACTGCAAAAGCTCTCTTCTTGACCTGGAGGGTCACTCTGGGACACGGGCAAAGTTAATACCCTGGTGTTCTTAGCCTTTCCCTTCCTTGGCAAGGTGTAGTTCCCAAAGGATCATGAGACCATCAGATCCAGTCCTCATTTTATACATGGGAAAACTGAGGCCCAGGGAAGAGAAAGGACCTTAGAGTCCGAGGTCCTGAATTCAAATCCTTACTCTCCTGCTAACCATCTGTGCAACTTTGGATAAGTCCCTTTTCCATTGAGGGCCTTGATTTTTTCCTCTAGCTTTTTAAAATTTTTTTTTCCTCTAGCTTTAAACCCTCTGGATGCACAGTCCTTTTCTCGGGCTTGTGTTATCACAGAGCTGTTGGCAAATAGCCAGCTTTTCTCCTCCATTAGCATTAAGATGCCACCCCAACAGTGTAGAAGCCCTGCAATTTCTGAGGTCCCTTCTGAAGGCCCACAGGCACATAGAGAGTATGGCTGCTGGGTCTGGAAACCTACTCTCTTCAGCACTAGCAAGGGCTGGATCACATAGCATATAAAATAACAAATGTTTATGAAAGGAATGCAGGGTCCCACGCTGGGCCCTGGGGGAGATAAAACATTAACTAAGACCTAGACCCCTGACCTCACGGAACTCACAGTCGACAATACTAAGGGATAAGACACCAGCATAATTCATTACAGCGCACGTGTAAAGGGCTCTCTGTCCCACAGAGGCACTCGCTTCATAGGAGCACTTAGAAGCATTCCTTCTGGGAGTCACTCAGTGCGCTACAGCGAGGTAAGCCACCAGGTGGTGCCCCAAGCCCTCAGTGACCTGTTTACGTCACCACGCCGACCTTGCCTGAGTCTATCACTCCCAGCCTTCTCTTTTATTACCTCAGCCCATTTCTTTAAGGGATCGAAATCCTGAAAATGACTCGTAAACCTCCCATGTGTAAGCCCCTATCCCACTGAGATGTTTATCTCTTTCCCAACTTCCCCATGCCTAAAATACTCAGCCTTTCCATCTCCACCTCTCAGAACCCCAAGATTCTGGCCTTCCTTCAAGGCTTAACTCAGATGCCGCCATGAAACCTTATCTGATCCCCTATAGTTTCTTAGGGCTCTCTCCCTCCTAGATTTCCCTTGTATATTTGTTTGTGGGCTTCCTACCCAGGAGAATGTACATTTTTTGAGGACAGGACCTTTTTTTTCTTCTCATTTTTATCTTATGGCAGGTTCTTAATAAAGGTTGGTTGAATTGAAAGTCAGGGTGACATTGAACTGTGGAAGGTCTTGAATGTCTGGCAAGGACTTTAAATTTTAGTAAGTTCTATGATGTTGGCTATCCCAAACCCCTGTGTTCTCAAAAATGACTGTCAGGTACAAAAGTCAAATAGGGACTTCCTAATACCAAAAGAGTTCTTCTTAAACCTGATCTGCTCAGACAGTTCCTTGATGTTCAAGGCCCTCTAGAAACAAAGATATGGCAAAATTCCTGACCCCAAGGTGCATACAGACTAAATGTGTCAAGAAAACACTAACCAGTGTGACAGGGACAAAGGAGGGAGCCAAAGTGTTGAAGGATAATCTGAGTAGAGAGAATGGACTGAGGGGAAATGGGAAGGACCCAAGGAGGGTTTCCTGTAGAAGGCGGCATCTGAACTAGGCTGAGAAGAATTTCAGCAGTTGGAAATGCAGAAGCATAAGCCACAGGGATGACTGTCCAAAGACACCAACTGGAAAGGACCAGAAGACAGCATACCCTCCTTTTGGCAGGAGCACAAGGAGGTGAAGGCAAGCAGTGCTAAATAAGGTTGGAGAGGTAAGCTAAAGCCGGATTGTAGACTAGGATATGCTTCTTATTTTTATTTCTGACTGACTGATTGATGCAGAATAAAACATACAGGGACAAGCTGAGGAGTCTCCAAATCAGGAAGCAATCTGAGAGTGGAATCCTCCAGAGTGGAGGTTTAAATGGGAGGTCCAAGAGTTCCTCCATTAGCCTGGAGTCACTGAAATTTTTTGGGCAGAGGAGTTGCATGGTTTGAGACCTGTACAGTAGGAAGACTTTTCTTGGCAGCTGTATGGTGACTGGATCAGAGAACAGAGACTGGAAGCAGGGAAGCTAATTAGGAAGCTATTACTGAGAACAGGCAGGAGTTGTAACGCAAAAGTCCTAAAGATCTAGTCCAGGTGACAGATGATGAGCAACCAACTTGGGTGATGACAGTATGAGGGGAAAGGGGAGGAGGCGAGAGAGTCAAAAAGAATCAATAGGAATTAATAACAGATTTGATGGGGTGAGGAGAGGGAAACTCCTTTGAGAACCCAGAGAAGGCACCAAAGATTTCCTTTAGGGACCTCCCTCCCCATTCCCTCCCTCATAAGGATCATCTTTAATTCCAGCAACTGCTTTTTATGATCCTCTTGGGACATCAATATGGTGAAGTCTTGAGCCCAGGGGTCATTTTCTTTTCCCTGAACTGCTCTCTTGAAGTCAAAGGGACACCCTCAGCTTTGCACATCCTCTTCCTCCTACCTTCCATGGTCATTGTTTCCTAAGGTTTCCCCCCACTTCCCCTCTCACAACATCTACACTTTGGAAGGTTGTCCAACCCATGGAGCTAATGGATGGTGCCAAGACCAAGTGGGACTCAGTGAAGGCCAAAGCCCATAGATATGTCTTTGGGTGAACCTTAGGGGAATCTGAAGCCCATGTTTCCCATCTAGAAAAGGAGAAGTGATGGGAAGGGAAGAGTGGATGATTCAGTGACCCCTAAGGTCCTTTCAGCTCTCATTTGCACATCCTCCATCCAGAGTAGCTTCCATCACCAGTTCATTACATCCTGTAACAATCATACAAACCATAGCATCTAATGTAATAGACAGAACATGGTAGAAGGAAAAGGGCAATGCATTTGATTCTACCATCCCTGAAAATCATAAAATCCTTATGTTCCTGATATGGGTCATCCCTCTCTGGGATACCTCTCATCTTTTAAGTTTTTTTCCTCACACAGAGCTGAAATCTGCCTCTCTCCAACTTTCAGCCATTCTTTCTAGTTATGCCCTCAGAACAACAAATCTCATCATCTCTCTCCTATAAATCACTCTCACCCATGTTCCTGCCCCAAGTCTCTTCTTGTTCGAGCTGAACAGCCCGTTTCTTCAGCCAATCTTCATATGGCTTGGTCTCCAATCCCCTTCCCCAGCCCCCCTCACTATCAAGGTGACCCTCTTATAGTTTTACTACAGACGTTCAACATCCTTCCTAGAATGGAGTGCCCAGACCAAACACAGTACTTTTGAGAAGAGAAGAGCAGGACTATCCCCTCCTTCCTTCTGACTATTATGCCACTCAATGCACGCTAAGGTTGCGTTGGTTACTAGGCAACTATGTCACTTCTGACTCACGTAGACTCCGTGGTCCACTAAAACCTCCAGATCTTTTGGGGGGGGGAGGGAGGTGTCAGATTCCTGGGCTATTTAATTCATTTCCAAACCACTTGATTTAAGCCCCACATCTTTCACAAAGGACAATGTTTCACCACCTGTCTCGGCCCCTACCCTCCAACCTGTACTAGTGTAGTTGATTTTTTTTTTAACCCAAGGGTAGAACTTTTACACTTACCCTGATTTAATTTAATCTCACCAGATTTGGCCCAAAATTCCAACTTGTCTTTATCTTTTTTTGGAAGGGTTGTTGTTAGCTACCTCCACCCCGCAGCTCTGTCACCTGCAGACTTGATGATCAACATGTCTATGGACTTCCAATAGCACCAAGAGAGATCTCTGGAAGAGTTCCTCCCTGTTTGGGGGATCTCCATCAACTCATTACACCTTGTAACAATCATGCAAACCATGGTACGTAATACAACAGACCAAGCACAGGAGAAGGAAAAGGGCAATGCAGCCGATACCAGAAGCAGATGTAGAGATGAAAGGGACCTTCCAGGTCCTATAGTCCAACCCTTTCACTTTGCAGTGGTGGAAGCCTAGGACCAGTGAGGGCCTCTCTTCTCTGCCATTTACCAGCTGGGTGACCTCAGGCAAGTCACCTAACCTCTCTGACCCTTTTTTCTCATCTGTAAAAGGAGGGGAGAGGGGTTGTTCTAGATGACCTCTGAGGTCCCTTCCAACTCTACAATCCTGTAAAAACACCCAGGCTTTCCTTCAGAATAAATCAGAGGAGAGGGCCTCTGAACAGCCTAATGGGGTGTCCATTCCTGGAGGAAACTTCAGCTCCTTTGCCCCTGGCCACCCAGACCCCTCTTCTTCAGAGCGCTAGGTCAGGAGAGCCTCCCCACAAGGCACAGCCTAATTATTAATCTCCCCCTTGAAACCAGCTCTACTCCCTACAATTAATGTTACCTCTTATAAAATAGTATTAGACAAGTTCTTAAAAGGCAGGCCTCCTGAACCTTAGCAATTAAGTGACAGGGCTTTTATTTTTAGCGTAGGGGAAGATTGCATTAAGGAGGGAAGGTAGAAAGTCCATTATACTATCAGCTTTGATTTGACTTGCATGTTTCAATAGATAGTTAGAAGAGTACGTGATTTAGAAATTGAGTTTAAATCCCAGCTCTACTATATATTGCCTATGTACCAATTTCCCTTTCCCTCTCCGGCCTTCGGTTTCTTCATCCTGTAAACTGAGGCAGTGGGACCTGGGGCCCCTCCAAAATATTACAATTCCCTATAACTGCACAACTGAACAGCAAAAGGCCAGTCATGGAGGAGGGGAGACAGAGAGGCACAATGTCACCCCGGTATCCATGGACTACTGAAGGGACAGAAGATGTCCAACATGCCAGGTGGCTATTCTGGAAGATTTATGAAAAAAAAATTAGTCAAGTATAGCCCAGGATGAGATAGCATGGAGGGTGTGGAAGAAGCCGCCATGTTGGTGAAACCATGGATCCATCAAAATAGGAAAGATGTGGGGGGCTGAGAAAGGAAGGATAGCCTCAGGCTAAGCTGGCAAAATCTGTCACTTTATATTAAAATCCAAGAGGATATTTGCCAGGATGCCATACACACATATCACCGAGAAATCTAAGGCTGCTGCTTTCAAGACAAATGCTCCAACCAGAAAGAACAGAGACTGCCATGGGAACTTGTCAAAGAAATGCTTTATTGATTGACAGCACTCATGGAAAGTGAGCCCAGTGACATCTGAACTCCACCATCCATTTCAGAGGATACAAGTCTCAGGTAGTCCAAGGGCTAACTGCTGGCTTCCTGAGCTACCTGGTAAAGGCCAGCCTTGTCCCCAGACAAGATCCCTCCAAACGAACAAGGCCCCTGCCAAGCCATCTGTTACTTGCTGATACAACTCACCAGGCCCCTCAAGCCACAAGCCTTTCAATTCAGCAAGGTGCCTCCAATTTGCTGGTCCCATGCTTTCACAAAGGGTATGGATGCACTTACCAAAGCTCAGTCCAGAGGAGCATAGGGGACAGTGCCACACTTGAGAGGCAGGTAGACCCAAGTTCAAATCCAGCCTCAGACACTAGCTATATCTGTCCCTGCTTCAGTTTCACCATCTATAAGATGGAAATAACAGCAGCACCTTCCTCACAGATGAGAGATCAAATAAGACAATCATTTGAAAACCTTCAAGCCCTAGATAGATGTTAACTATCATGGCTATGATGGTGCTTACCCATTGCTGGTATAGAGGAAAGGCTAGGGACTCCTCTGGGTTCCTGCTACTTTGAAAGGGTTAGAGAATCCAGGCACAATTTCCTTTCTAAAAATTTCATCAATACCTTATTAGGAATTGGCTGGACTCCGTAACTTTCCTGATCCTAAAATGGGGTCTGTAGGTGAAGAGCTGAACGCCATCTCGTTCAGCCCCATCATTTTAGAGTTGAGCACCACTAGTATGTGTCAAAAGCAGGGAGAAGTTTCCCACTGATCTACTTAGAACTGGAGAAGGAAAGGGAGGCATCATGCTACAGTGGAAAAAGAGCAGGGGCTTTACAGTCTGAGAACCTGAGTTTGAATCTTGCCTCTGCCCCTTACAACCTTGTGTCACCTCGGGGAAGGTACTTCCCCTCTCTGGTCCCCAGTTTTTCTTTATCTGTAAAATGACAGAGTGGGACGAGTGGTCACCAAACGTCATTCTGATTCCAAATCCAAGATCCTATGCAAAAATCATAACCTATACAAAGCTATCCCAACCTCGAAATCCCACTGGCTGCCATCCTCCTGAAATGGCCCCTTATTCCATACTCCGCTTTGTCTTTGGCAGATTCCAGGAAAGGAGTCAAATCCCTGAACTGTATAACGGGGCTGTATTAAGGGGGCAAAGGGCCTATGGGGGAATAAACTGCTGGTATCAGATACCTACCCATGGTCTCTCCAAGATCATCTGGTCCCTGGCTTGGCTGTCACATTGATGTAGTAAGGCTGGTCTGGTTTATTAGAGGGCCTGGGCAGAGAGGGGGAAAAGCCAGAGGGGCTGAGCAACCCACAAGTATATCAGTTGTGCAGACTGCAGCCCAGTGACAGCCACCTACCAAGGAACTGTAAAGAACACACATCATGCTGGTAAAACTGGGGAGAGAGGGAGGGAGAGATCCCTGTTTGCCTGCTGGGATGCTGTGATGCCCCCCTCTTCCTTTGGATGTACCCTGAGAAAACTGGAAAGGGAGAGAGGTTTGTATGTTTAATGTCAAAAGTTCCCTGCTTGATACAAGAGGCCCATACCCACATCTCTACTCCCTCCTTGCGGGATGCAGGCAGATAAGGTACTTGACATTCAATGCCGAAAAACTTTGGTAAAGAATAAATAATTTATGTGCTCTGACCCACAGGCTCCCCCTCGGGGGGACAGCAGAAAGGAGCCGAGGTAGCGGGGTCCACCCACCAAAGCCCAGGTTCTCAAGCTCAAGGAAGTTACTCAGACCACGTGGACGGCTAAATACCCAGAGATATAATGGACATGTGTACAAATAAGAATATTCTCTCTTCGTTCACTCCAGAGAAACACGTCCCTCAGACGGACAGGTGGGCCTGGACAGAGACATCAGCACCAGTCTGTAGGATTGGAAGTGTTCATTGCACAGCCTACAGGCCTGGAAAAATTTAAAGTTTTACAAGGATGGGCAGCTGCTGGTTGGTTGGCCTGAAGCTATTGGTAGAAGCTCTCGATCTGTTCCTGGTACATTTTGGTCACTACGGGCCTCTTCAGTTTTGTGGTGGGACCTGAGGGAAAAAAATCAGACCGTGGCTTTCCCCCACCAACATAGGGGGAAGCTGCTGCTGGGGAAAGAAGGGTCAAGGTTGATGGTGGAGGGCAAGCCAGACTTAGAGCCAGGAACAGATGCCTGGGATCTTGGTCTCATAACCCTCCCTGCCACAAGGCAGGACTTAGAGTCAGGAGGCCCAGATCCCAATGCTGGTTCTACCACCAACTGGGTGTATAACCTGAGAAGGCAAAGCCACATAATTTTCTCCAAGCCCGAGTTTTCCTAATCTATAAAATGGGGGCATAAAAAGCCTCTACCTGCCTTCACTGGGTAGTTGTGGTGCTCTATAAAGAAAGGCTTATTGACAATGACTACAGGGAATGAAAGGAGCAGAGGGTAACCTAAGGAAGATGTGGGAGTGGCAGATTGGACATGAGGACCAACTGGATTAGCTATGGAAGAGGCATCTTTCATTCACCTATGACATAGGGCAACGAATGACAATAGAGTGGGGTTCTTAACCCAAGGTCTGGGAACCTTTTTTAATATTTTCATTTTTAATATTTGTAAATATCCTGGGAAGTGTACATAACTGGCTGGCTTCCTTGGTAATCCCATGCATTTTATCTTGATGTACCAATGGGACCATAGAACCCCAAAGAGGTCCAAGACACAAAAAAGGTGATGAACACCTGCTCTACAGACAGTAGACCTGGGTTCAAATCCCACCTCTGACAGATCTTACTACCTCCCTTCACCTCCCCAGTCCTCCAGACAGCTGTCAAGGTAGACTTCGAGGTCCTGTCTAGCTTAGTGCCCCACCCCACGTGTTTTCTGTTGGTGGGGGTGAGTGCTTTTTCATATTCCCATATATCCTCACTACTCCAAGCACAGCCACACTGGGACTGCAGGCCCTGAGGCAGATACCAACCAAGCCACAAGGAAAGAATGGAAGAAGCCATGCCCAGCTCAGGGGCTGTTCAAATGACTTGGGCTTGCCTAAGGAAAGGTTATCAGAACTGAAACATCCCCAGAAAGCCAACTCCCTCCTCCCCTGCCCAATTCTTCTCCCAGAGATGTCAAGCCCTGCCCAGACCACCCCACCTCGTCTCCAGCACCAAGAACCCCATGCAACCTCCACTTACCCAGCTCTCCACCAACAACGGAGAAGTCCTTATTTAATATCGTCCATTTCTGGATCTTCTGGGCATTGGAGGTGGCCTCCTTGTTGACTGCCTCAATGCCCTTCTCAATGGCTTCATAAACAAGGGGGTCTTTGCCATCTACAATATCCGACACTTTTTTTGACTTGCTCCCCAACTTCTGGCAAAAATCCAGGGCTTCGGGTGAAAGGTCATCTTGAGGTTCCCCAGTGTCTAGGTTGACCTGGCACTGTTGGAGAAGGAGACACTAATGGCAATCCTCACCCACACTTCCAAAGTTACCCCAAAGGTCCTCAAGTAAAGAGGTCAGTTTTGGGAGCCAGAGATTGGGGGGATCCAAGTCCCAAAACCTGGCTGCCCCATGGTAAAACCCCCATGTCCCAGAGCCAAGGTTACCTTAAGGGTTAAGAGCATGCTGAGGAACTTGGCCTTGTCGCCCACCAACATGGCAAAGCTGATGATTGGAATCTTCTCCTTGACCCGGTCCTCAATGGGGACAGGAGGGATGTTCTCCCCGCCGGCGGTGATGATGAGCTCTAGAACAAAGCAGTGGGTCAGTGGGTTTTCTTCCAAGATCCACAAACCCAGGACCAAATGAAAAAGGGACCAAAGAAACATTTGAGGCACAGAACTGAACTTAGACCAAAGCCATGAACCATAACGTCCATCATTGTCAATAGCTAGTATTTATATAGCACTCACTATGGGCCAGCACTCTGCTATGCACTTTACAAATATTCTCTTATTTGATCCTCACAATCCTGGTGGTAGGTGCTATTATTAACTCCATTTTACAGATGAGGAAAACAGGGAAATAGAGGTTAAATTACTCATCGAGGGTCACATAGCTAGTGTCTGAGGCCTGATTCAAGCTCAGGAGCAGTTAGGTGGGCCTAGAGTCAAGAATACTGGAGTTCAAATGCGACCTCAGAGACACTTACTAGCTGTGTGGCCCTGGAAAAATCCCTTAACCTCTGTCTGCCTCAATTTCCCCACCTTTAAAATGGGAATAATATCACTTACTTTCCAGGGTTGTCATAGGGATCGAATGAAATATCTGTAAAGTGCTTAGCAGAGTGCCTATGCAGTAGGAGCTTAATATTTCCTTCCTTTCAATATTCCTTCTTCCCTTCATCCTCCCTTTCTCTCCTTTCCTCTGTCCCCTTCTTCCTTCCCCCCCTTCCCTCCCACAGATCACCTTTGATTCTGCCTGTGACGAAAAGGAAGCCATCGCTGTCCACTTTCCCAAGGTCTCCAGAGTGAAGCCAGCCCCATTCGTCAATCACCTCCCTGGTATTCTCTTCCATGTCCAGGTAGCCCATGAAGACATGTCGGCCCCAGAAGCAGATCTCCCCAATGGCCTCATTGTCCTTCTGTTGTATCATGTTCTTACAACCATGTATCACCTTCCCACAGCTGGGAGGAGAAAGGAGCACACTTACATACAAGTCCCCTTCAGTCAAATCACCAGGTCTGCAGACAGGAAGGCAGGGGAGTGGGGAGGGCTGTGGGCTGGAGTCAGAAGGGATGGAGGCCAATCCCAGCTCTGCCATTTACCAACCTGTGACCTTGGGGGAAAGGTGATTTTCCTCTACAGGCCTCAGTTTCCTCTTCTCTAAAATCGGGACAAAAATATCTTCTCACAAGAATGCTGTCAATACTATATAAACACTAAAGCGTAAGAAAAATGTACGCCAGTATTCCCAGCTGCTCTGATTTCAATGGTGTGTTAAGGTTTACAAGGAGTTTTCTACATCTGATGAAGCAGGTAGTGCAAAAATTAATATCCATTTTAGAGATGGGGAAAATGACGCTCCAAGGTTACAGGACTTGCAGAGAAAGCATCCAAGCCCAGATTCAGATGCAGAGCTTACCTGACCCCAAGTCCAGGGTTCTTTTTACTACAATAGGTAACCAACCAATCAATACACATTTATTAAGTGTCTATTCTATGCCTTACCAGGAAGAGCACGGTGGAGCTCAGGAATCTAGCCCTCATCTCATACCCTTCTTTCTCCCCTCCTCCAGGACACGAAGGTAGTTCTAATCTACACTGGGCGCTTTGGTGAGGTCACTGACGGGACAAGTACTGAACAAAAAGCCAGAAATGTTAGAGCCCAGGAAAAGTACCGAGAGAGGTCCCAGGAGACAGAAAGGACACCCAAGGAAAGGGTAATGTTTGTTAGGGATAAGAGAGGGTGGAAAAGAGTGCTCTACTGCATGACGTGAAACGAGGTTGAACTCTGAAGATGGGTGGCCAATGTCAGGATTCCAAAGGGTCCCAACACAGTAGACTGAGAGCTGAAATTTAATATGGTGAAACTGGAGGGGGACAAACCTCAAGTCCTACACTTGGGTCCATATAATCAAGCGTCTAAGTGGAGGATGAGGAAGATTTGGCCAGACAACATTTCCTGGGAAAAAAGATCTTGGAGTTTGGATGAACCTATTAACTCCAGAGTCAAAAGAACTAATGACCTTAACCAACTGAAGCAGATCGAAAGTGAAAAGAAATAAGAGATCAATTTCTAAACCTACAAGAATATAATGGAGAAAAACCACTTTGGAAAACTTTAAAACTCTGAGCAACCCAATGATGAAATGAGAACCCAAAAGGATGAAGATGGAACACACCCCTCTCCTCCTGACATAGAGGTGATCTTAATATGCAGAAAGAGACGTATGCTTTCGGACATGATCGATGTAGGAATTTGTTTTGCTGGATCATGCCACAACGTATACAGAGCTTTTTTTTTAAAATGTGCCCAACTGAGGGAAGGCAGGAATAGATTAATTTTTTTTTCATTGTAAATTGAAAAATAAAAATAATAAACTATTATAACAAATGGGAAAAAAACCACAATTTTTTTTCCCAAAAGAACTAAAGAGATCTTAGGCTAAATTATGAGATGGCTCCATCATCCTCTTCCCAGGTCAGACCCCTTTGGAAATCCCACGTCCAATTCTGGATGCTGCATTTCAAGGAAGTTATTAGTCTGGAGGGGAGAAGGGCTGGGGGAGCATATAAAGGGCTGGAAAGAGATTAGATTCATTCTCCAGAACTAGGAACAAGGAGAAGTTGGAAACACACAGAGCTGAATGTCTATTTGTTAAGTAAGCAGCAGAAGGGATTCCTACTCGGGGTGGGGGGTGGATCAGACGCCCTCTGAGGTCTCTGGGTTTAGTGATAAGGCCTTGGCATTTTCCCTCCATCCTAGCACCAGGCTTGACACAAATGGTGCTTGTAATTGATGGCAAACAGAAGGAAAGGGGCATTAGACTGCAGAGAAAAGATTAATATGAAGTTTTTTTAAAAAGTTTGTTTTCAAAGAAAGGCACCTCCTAGGTTCCAGCTCTGTTACTGAACATATACGACCCTGGGCCTCAGCTTCCCGTCTCTTAAAAAAAAAGTCAGAGAAGAAGGTTAGAGTAAATTACCTCTAGGGTCCTCCTTGCTCTGATATCTTCTATGTTCTAAGCTTCCCTTGGTTCTGACATTCTGCATTCCAAGGACCCTCCCAACCCTGATATACTGGGCTCTGAGGCCACTCCCAGCCCTGACATTCTAAGTTTTGAGACCCTTCTCAGCTCTGCCATCCTATGTTCTAAGGGCCTGCCCAGCTCTGCCATCCTATGTTCTAGGAGCCCTCCCAGCTCTGCCATCCTATATTCTAAGGGCCCTCCCAGCTCTGCCATCCTGTGTTCTAAGGGCCCTCCCAGCTCTGCCATCCTATATTCTAAGGGCCCTTCCAGCTCTGCCATCCTATGTTCTAGGAGCCTCCCAGCTCTGCCATCCTATATTCTAAGGGCCCTCCCAACTGTGCCATCCTATGTTCTAAGGGCCCTCCCAACCCTGCCATCCTGTGTTCTAAGG